ATAACAAACTCATTACCAGCGCCCAACAGGGTGGAACTGCCTTTTAATTAGAGCAACACCTGATTAACACCCAATTAACTGAGCCAGAGCCACTTAATTCTCCCCCACTTTGGCAGGTTGAGCACACAAACATAGCAGTCCAGCATCTGAGTGCTTCCTCTCCTCCTGGGAATGTGTGAGAGAAAAGTAAATAACTTTGGAAGAAATCTGTTGTCTGGTGATCCAAATGCTCTCTGCAGGGCTGGAAGGTGTACACTGGAGCTGCACAAGGTAAGTATTTCAACAAGGAGACAGATGTAGGACTGGCTGGCAAAGACTCTGCATCACTACACGTGCAACTCCTGGTGGGCTGATGGTAGACAGTTGTCCAAGTAGTGTTCAACTACAGGATACTGGGTAAATCCTAATTCCCTTATTAGATCGTTACTCAGACCTCGCTCAACCTGGAAGTTGTTCCAGTCTGCCATCTTAAAGGACGTCCCAGAGCTCTTATTCCTACTCTGAGAAGCAAGGATGGAAGAGGCTGCCTGGAGGAGACATGAGCAAGGGTACAAGAAAGCATCCTTCGTGGAAGTCTTCTATGTACTGACATGCCCCTTCATTGGAAATCATCTGGTGATTGGAAGTTTTAGGTAAAGAATCAGAGGGAAGGATGCTTCATGTTTCATGAAACGTGTTTTCTCGGTTCCCCTCTCCTCGAATTTTTTCTCTGCATCTTTTGCTCACATCTTACATGGATGAGATTAAGACACAGCAGGTGAATCCCAGTTCCCCTAATTTGGATCCACGTTGACCTCACTTGCATCTTTTTCTTGAATCTTAGTCCTGTCCATGTAAGATACAAAGTAAAGATGCAAGGACAAACTGTGAGGGGAAACGAACCAAGGATGTTTTAACTGACATGAGATGTTCTTTCCTCCAAGCCCGAATGTGAAGACATCCAATCACAAACTGATTTCTGATAAAGGGCCATGTCAATCTGTAATAGGCTTCTGCAAAGGACATACTTGTGTATCTTTGATTATAGCTCCTCCGGGCAGGCCCCTCGCTCCTAGAGCAGAAATAAAAGCTTTGGGATGTCCTTCACCATGGCGGACCAGAATGACTTCTGGGTTGAGCAAAGATTCAGGCTCGAGGAACAATAAAATAAAGGAACTGGGATTCACCTATTGAAAGGTGAGAGAAATGTGTCTGCAATTAAATTGTTCCCAATCTCAGATTAAACCATGGGGCCTTTAAGACGGCAACACTGTAAAGGATTTAATCTTAAAACTTTTATTTAGGGTGCTTATTGTCTGGACAGCAGAGGTTCAGTAAAGTCACACAAAACTTTGTTAAACATGCATGCAGTAGATTTTGTTATCCACATCCATACAGTCTTAGTTCACATTTCAACAAACTAAAGTTTTATTTTTGTTAAAATAAAAGACATTTTTTTTGCTGATAATTGCTCTCAAAAATGCCACTCCGTCATCACTCGATGGTGCCGTTTCTTTCATCAAGTACACTGCAACACCTCCTCAAACTTTCAAGTAAAGCTACAAGTTGAAAGTTAAAACCTATATCTGTTGCTGGCCCAGATGCAAACCTGGACAAAACATTGCTGAACTTAAAAAGGTTCAAAACACACACCCATCACCTTGTCAGAGAACAGTCTCCTCTTGCATTTTGTGCCCAGTTTCGCAGCCAATATTGTTTGTTCTTAGTGTTTTTATTTTATTTCTGTCTGTATCGGTGGAGAATGACCACCACAGACTCTCGGGTTTCCGAGAATCTTAATTCCTCTAGCCAAAAACAGTTAATCAATATACATTCTGGTTGTATAGATCTATAAAGCAGTGAGGAATTGCTGGTTTCCCATCGAGTCTGTGCACAATAATGTGTAGTTTACACATTCACATTTCTTCATCTTGCCTAATTTATGCACTCCATTCAAGGCATTGACATATACATTTTCAGTCTTGTTGCCTTTACTGTTAGCAGTGTGATACTAGGGTCAAACGATGTAATAACATTTTTTTAGCCTTAAGTTGAGAGGAATTCCGTTCTGATTCCAGAGCCTTCTCTAAGTCTGGCAGTAGGTCTGGCACAACAGCTTGTTCAGCAATAAAGACCATCATCTCCACAACCAGCAGCAGCACCCATCCTAAAGCCCCTAACCAATAGGAGGAACCAAGGCCAGAGAAGTCTTGACAGATTTCTTCCTGGTGCTGATATGTGAAAAAAGACCAGCTCAGGAGGAAGAAGAAACCTGCAGATAGAAGAGAAGTATAAGTCAAGTATCATCGCAGGGAACCAAAAAAAAGTCATTAAGGTCGATTATTACATGCCTGGAGCTTTAGATAAGAGTTTGTATGATAATGAACTGCAATTTCAAGGAAAGTAAAAAGTCTCTAAAAACTGCTGCCTTGCAGGGTATGTAAATGAGCAGCAGCCTATATAAGAATTTCAGAAGGTGGGGGCTTGACATAAACTACACAAAGGAAAAGGCTTTTTGGAGGTGAACTGGAAATGGGGGTACTTTATTTACTTAATTTACTACTTTACTTGGAATGTATATAAAAGCTTCCAAAACAACAGCAGTCTATGCATCAATAAAAGTGAGGTCGTGTTTAAAATGAGGACATTTTGGCTGGTCCTCACACTGTGAAACACTTTTTTGAGGGTTAAGACTTGGTTTAAGGGTTCAGGTTAGAATTAGGTTTGGGTTACACTAAGGGTTAGGTGTTAGGCATTTAGTTTTAATGGTTAAGATTAGGGTGATGGGCTAGGGAATGCATTATATCAATGAGTGCCCTTACATAGATAGAAGTACAAGTGTGTGTGTGTGTGTGTGTGTGTGTGTGTGTGTGCGCACGTGCACAGGTAAACCAGTGTTTGATGCATGCCGGGAAGTGCACCACCGTTACCTGTAGAAGCCATGGTGAGTAGCAGGAGGGTGGTTGGGTAGAGCGCCTGTCCTGCCATGAGGAGAGAGCGAGTGTTGGAGTAGGAGTGCACCGTCCGAGATGTCCAGCAGAGGGCAAACACCAGACACAGAGCACCAGTGCAAACAGCC